ACATAATTAACAAGGGGTGGTCACTGACCATGGCCACTTCTTCCCAAAAATCCATCACAACTGTTGGAGGATCAACCGGGGCCACATGAATATGTACCACGACTCGATGTGTTATTCTAGGCGTGATTTTGATTTTGAATGAAGGAAATTGGAGGACCTTAAGGCCAAGCATTGTATCGAGAAATAGCCCATGTCCTTCAACTTCAAAAAGGAGATCACATAACAAGGTCTAGATTTAAAGACCCATTAGGCATGGAGAACGTCTCATCGGAGGGATCGAGATCACATAGAAAATGGGATTTGTCCATATTGTTAATGCGACGGACAATTTTAGAAAGTTGATCACTAAAGGACTTGAATCGAAAACAATAATTAGAGATGGATGATGAAACTTTTTGAAGTTGGTGTGAGGAAACTCATAATAATCTGCATGCATTCAACATAGTCATGACTATACACAGATTCAAGGGTACGCTAGAGATCACGACTTGTCTTTAGATCTAGGGCTTCTGTCATAGATTCTTTGGAGAGAGATAACTGAAGAAGGGTAAGAACACGCCGATTGTCTTCTTTCCAAGAGATAAAAGTAGGATTAAGAGTAGATTTGGCATCAATTTTATGTTTGAGAATGAATAAAAGACAATGCCATAAATATAATTAACTAGTTTTCGAGATAATATGAGCAAACGAACTTGATTAGCCATGTAACGTAGTTGCAGGAGGAGAGTTTAATTGTTAGCATATGTAGGAGAGTGGAGATATGGAATGAAGGATCATGAAATATTGTTATCGTTGACAACCCTAGGGAAGAGAAGGGATGGACAACAGTAGACTAATGACAGAAGGATATTTTTTGAGCTTATACCATGTAGGGGTTTGATAAATCTTCACACTTGTGGATAATCTTTCATTATCAATACTAGATGTGTACTCGTGCAAAGCAGGGGTGACAAATATATTTTTTTGCGAATAATTTTTTACGGAGAAATAGTTATTAGATTTTATTATTAGTTATTAAGTAATAAAACATTTACCTCTTTTAAATAAAATATTTATGTTTATACATTATATTTATATTGTTTGTTTATACTATTGATGTAAATTAATTAATAAAGATGCCTAGTTTAAAAAATATAAATTAATTTATATACATGAATTAAGTATTTAAAATTGTTATTTTGCTCCAAATTGAATCTCTTAATAACCTTCCTAATTAAATTTATGTCTTTAAATTTTTTGGCAAATATTAATGATTTATCTATGCATAATTGATTTGTACAAAAATTTTTATAACTTATACCTCTTAAAATTCAAAATATGATAAATATATGTTTTATAATATAGTATAGATATTAATATAAATAAAGAATAATATCACAATAAAATAGGAAAGGATAAAAATGTACAACAAAGATTCCCATCTTATAGAAAAAAATGATGTAATAAGATAATGTGTGAGGTACAATAATATTTATGCTAATTTGCACCTTGATAAACTTTGACTAGATTGTAAGGATAAATACATTAATCACATTGCTTCCTTTTGTTCTCTATTCATATAATTCAGTTTAGTTTCCATGACGAATCTATTTATCTATCCTTCTTAATAAATGAAGGTTTTTTTTTTGCCACATGTCAATCTCTCATGAGTTTTGACATTTGTCATTTTATGGTAATTTTGAAATAAATACTTATACACTTGTCAATTTTTGATTTGTTTCAATTTTTAAAATTAAAGTCATATACTTATATATGTAAAGTATTAAATATCATATATATAATATTAAATTGCAATAAATACATTTCTTCCTTTCTTTTTTATTTTAAAGTTATACACTAAAAAATATTTTTTGTTTACACTTTAATTTAATGTTTAGTCTTTTTTTAAATCAACTCGTGTAATACACGGGTCTTACACCTAGTGGAAGGAATATCTACCACAAAATTTGTTAATTAATATATATGGCAACATAGTGATGTGGAATTTTGTCACATGAAATTATCTTAAACTATAATGTATATTTTAAAAAGCTTGGATTATAGTAAAAGTTTATATAAATGCGGTTATTGTACCTCACATACACATTATTTAAATTACATCACATATTAATAGAGAACATAATATGTTGAATTTATTCTTTTAGATGATTAGATAGAGTGGTCTTCTATCTGCTTGGATGGCTTCTTACCATTAGAATCCGCCTTTGGTGTTAGTGTACCCAACAGGGAAGTTGCTTGATCCTGCACCAACTCCCAAGCCATCTTTATATGCATATCTTCAGTGAGAGTTGCACCCACAGAAAACCTGATAATAAAAGCTCCTTCAACCATTGAATGCGTCATGTAAATAATCCCTGTTGCATTTACTGATTCCAATAATTTGCTGTTGAATTCATTTGCTTCAAGATCGTTGCCATGGTGCCGATTTATAGCATGGGGAGAAACCCGGAAACAAACCATAGAAAAATATCTAGGTAGCCACAATCTCAAACCTACTGTCCATGGTCACCATCATTTCGAAATCCTTTGCCATTTTCACATGGTTTCTTAAGAATTGTCTCAAACCACTCACCCCATAGCTCCTTAGCACCATCCATAACTTCAAGGCTTGGAATCGTCTTGTTAGTGTTATCTGCCAATCTTTGAAGTCCACAACTTGTCCTGATTCAGTAGCTTCGTTTCTCAAATACTCGGAGTTCGTGGAGAGAGGTTTGGTGAGGGCGTATTGTCTTTCACCCAAAGGCAACAACATGCAAGATTTGTCAGGAGCCATTTGTGTGCATTAAAACTGAAGGAACTCGCACCCTCTACACCATCAAGAAAGTGACGAAACTCAGGGCAGATACAAGCACTTCCGGCATATGCAGCATCCACGTGAACCCACATATTATATTTGCTTGACAACTCACACAAGGGTCCTAATGGATCAACTGTTGCAGTTGACGTTGTTCCAACAGTAGCACATAAATACAATGGAATTAAACCAGCTTCAACATCTCTTTTAATGGACTCTTCAGTCGTTGTGGGGAGAGTTTATAGTTTGTGGACTTGGTTGTAAAGACTTTTCGAACATTCTCCGGATTTATCCCAACAATTTTGGCTGCCTTTTCGAGACAAACATGGGTTTGGTCCGAACAGTAGACAACAAAGCTTCTCTGTGTTTTCCCTTCCTATTTGATCAAGCATCTTCTCTCTTGCAGCAAGCATGGTGCAAATGATGGCCTCACACGTAGTGCCAAGCAAAACACCCCCACCATTGCCTGAGAATGAGAAGGACTGGGGAAGTTGAAGTAGTTTTGACAACCACTCCATGACCACGATCTCTAGCTCTGTGGCAGCAGGAGAAGAGAGCCAATTAAATCCGACAACATTAAACCCATTGATAAGCATTTCACCAAGAAAGCTTGCGGTGCTTGTGCTGGATGCAAAGTAGGCAAAAAAGTTTGGACTTTGCCAATGTGTTAAGCCTGGAATAATATCCTTATCGACATCTTTCAGTATACTTTCAATTGATTCTGGGAGCAATGGGGCACATTCAGGCAACCTTTCTGCTAGATAGCCGGGATTGACTTGGCTTCGGACAGGGTAACTGTTGATATTTTTGTAATAATCGGCAAGGAAGTCTATAACCATATGGCCTTGCCTCCTGAATTCTTCATGGTCCAAGGGGTTCATGTTGTTGCTTCGTGACATACGAAAGGGGATATTGGGTGTATTTATTACATTCCATATGCATAAGCTTCGTCCTCCTACATTTAATAGTGAGCTATATTTGTCAAAAGAAAAAAACGGGGCCTCATTTTTATGACTATTAAACATTAATTATATTCCTTAAACTTCACATTAACGAAGCTTATGTAATTTTTTTGGAAATGACGAATAAAATAAAATAAAAAAGCCCACCGATGAGCAAGGAGCTAACCGGGGGCAAAAGATACAAGGTTCACATTATCAAACTACAACAAGGAAAGGATTACAGCACCAAACTGACCATTGACACATATTTTGGTTCCTCTATATTTGTATCAAGAATACACCAAAGCGAATGTTTCGTTGGCTATTGTAGCAGGAGATGGTGAAACCTTGTTAAAAATTTTGTCATTTCTGGCCTTCTAAATTCGCCAAAGGAAGCCATAGAGAATAGCAGATAACAGCTTCCGCTTTTTTTGAAAAATGCCTTTGGTGAATGCCGCACCATTTTAAAAATGCTGCAAAAATGACATCTTACTAGAACATGTTCTACCGATTCTTCACCTGTATTATGTAATTAATATATAGTTAAAATTTTGAAATAAACAATCGGTGTTGTAGTCCTGCTCTTGTTTTTACTTCCTAGTTTTAATTTGTTTTATGTTTTATCAATGGCGGTTCAAAGAAATTAAATTAGCCATCAACAGATCTCTCGGTTATAATATGCAAATAAATACCATTCAAATTTAAATAATGGCCGGTTTATCAACATTGCATAAATCTCTTAGCATTCCTGGAAAAGGGGCTAAGATCCGACCAAAATCACCGATGGAATTTTCCATTAGAAATCAAAGACCGAATTCCATACACTAGTACACAAGTCATTTAATAGTACGAGTGATTTTTATTTTTTGATCCGGTCCCTTCTAAAAACTGTCTTATTAAATATCTACAACATCAAAAAATTGAAAAATCGCATTATAAAATAGCTCTGTTAGTGCGGTTTCCCAAAATCGCACCATTAAAGCATTTTCTGATGCTGAAACCGCACCAAAAAATCATGTGGATATCGCCCCAAAAAACAATTACAACCACACCAAAAATAATTCGCACTAAAAAACATTGAACCGTACCAAAAAACAATTCGCACTAAAAAAATATTGAACCTCACCATTAATCTTTCCTCTAAAAATTTCATTCGAAATTTTCATTTCGCGCTAGGTCCCTCCAAATTTCGTTCAAAATTTTCATGTTTTCAAAATTTCCATTCAATATTCCCTCTTTATTGCCCTCCCACCTTGAGATCGAGAGTTCAAGTCTCATCGTGGACATAGATGAAATTAGGTGTTAGTTTAGGAGTAGATTATATATATTTATATTTGCCGGTTAAAAAAAAAAGGTATGTCCATTATTTATGTTTTTTCATTAATGGCATTTGTGACTTCATTTTTCCCTTATTAATTGTAAATGAATGTCCTATTTTAAGTTTTAACGATTTTTCTTGTTCTGAATCTCTGCAGATGCTTCTTCTTCCGTGATATATCTCCAAAAAGGGATCCAAAGACTTATGATGTTTGCTTCAGTGACTTTCAATCAATGAGTATGGAGCTAGTTTTTGTAGAGTGAGTTTTAAGATGTTGAAAAAGAAATTGAAAACAACATCGATGAAATGTGATTTCCCAAGAATAGATTTTTAATTGGTAGAGAAAAAGAAATTGCAGAGATTGAAACCACCCTTTTTGGAGAAAAAGAAATTACGATTAAACAATTGATTGAAAAATACTCACCGAACATACCTAAATACAAGAAAATGAAGCTTCATAAGTAGCGTGGTGTGCATCAATGGCGAACCTGTTAATTGGTGTTGTTTTAGCTTGGTATTTTTTTAGGCGGTTTTGGCTATTTTTTGGTGCGATTTTTGCTATTTTTTGAGGCAGTATTGGCTATTTTTTGGTGCGATTTTGCCTATTTTTTTATGCGGTTTTGGAACCGCACCATTAAATAAGGGTATTTTTTGATGCGATATTTTTTGGTGTGGTTCAGTACCCGCATCAATTAATCATTTTAGCCGCATCAACAAATGCTTTATTACTAATGATAGGACATGTAACACGAAGACCTTAATTTGCCGACGGAATAACGACAAAATATAGTGTGGTCGAAAATCCGTTGGAAATTACCGACATAACATCGAAAAAAGTTTAATGAAATAGTTAATTTTATGTATTTTTTAAAAGTTTATAGGCATTCCCTCGGTAATCACTAACGAATTTCTGACGAAACTTCTATTTGCTTAAACCCTAAGCAACTCCTTAGGTTTCTTTTCTCCACAGAGATTGTTCCTCCTACACCTTATTGTGTAATGATGGGTAATTCAGAAAATTAACCAACAACACCTAGGAAGAACCGTTGCTATTCGTATTTGATTTATTTTCTATATGGAAATCATTCCAAAATTATGGAAGCAATAGCCAAATTTCCATTGCTTGTGGAGTTGATTACATGGTTTTTCAAGATTACTAAGTCTATGGAGTTACTTTGTTTTACTTAGAAGTTTTAGGATCTTTAAGATTCCTTGAAGGCTTGAACATGACTATAAGTAAATCCTTTCTAGTCATTTTTTATATCTTTTTATCTCTAGTCTCCTTATTTATTATCCTTCTCTAAATCCATTGTTCTTTATTGTTTTGTTGATTATCATCATTTATACCAATGTTGTTGCTTATTATAAAAAAACGTTGGCAATGTTGTAAACAACAGAAAGTGGTAGCAAGAAAGTGGTCATTACACATGTGTTCGTTTTTTGAATAACAACTTTATAAGGGATAGCAAGAAGCTACTAGGCGCAAAACAAAACTAACTACATCAATGAAAGATCCTCATGTGGGCACGATATCCAAGTCGATCATTAGATTTATTATACGACCTTCACATATACTCGAAATCAAATTGTGTGAAAACGACATAACATAGTGAAATTGGAGTCTTTGCACAAAATCTCATAAAACTATAGATTGTTTCAGAAAACAACAAAAGGAACAACGTTTGAACACCTCTTATGAGCATGAGAAAAAAGGTTTAGTCCACAAGAGATCTAAAAGCTTAAAGAGTCCCATCCGTGGGGAGGGGAACACCCCGCCAAACAGCCATCTTAGATCAAAGTGATTGCGCAATTTCATAGCCCACAAATAAACGATCTCCCTTATTGATATATGTCACACACCATACATGATGTAGATTCTATGATTTATGTTAAAAAGGATATCCTTCACACATCAGGCATAATGTAGATTCTATGATTTTATGTTATTTTAACAAACTATAGTTGTAATTCACTTGTTTTGCAAACCTCCTATCTGGTTTACGAATTTGAATGAAAGCTTGATGTTTTGTGTATTTTGGATTATACTGGTCTCAAGGAATCGAACATTCTTGCCACTACTTCAAAATTTATTTTATTTATGGTGTAAATAAGACTTTGTTATTGAGTGGTTTCAAAACACATGCATCGACAATATGCATATGAAGAGTGAATGAGAAAGACATTGAAAAAATAAGGCAACTAGAATAGCCATATACTACCGTCTAGAAGAAAGGCCAACATGCAATAGAATTGTATATGACACTTGTGGGGCGGTAACATACTAACATGCATACATCACACCCATATTGCCGTATAAGGAAAGAATTAAGGATAGTCAAAATGACCATATATAGGCCTTACACATCATAGCCTTTGTTTTGGTAAAAAAATCTATCAAATCAAAATCAACCAAGTTGTATGAGAGGCCTTGGTGTTGTAGCTACTATGAGAATCAAATTGAGATCAAAGTGACAAGCGTGGTTTACAAGGAAAGACATTGATCCTCGATAGGATCTCCGACATAAAACCTTAGGAAGTGATAATAATCACCAGCCTTGTTTGATTTTATTGATTAGAATGCAAATTACAAAAACGAGAATACAAGTGTGAGTGTTTCAATAGTTCTAGTCGTGTAGGGTGTCAACACGTTGTGCCCGTTGTGTGACTTTTACAAGTGTATATATAGCCTAGGTTGAATAACTAAAAGTATGATATTATCGGGATCCACTTGAATAAGTATCCGCGCGTTGTTTTGACTTGGTATTCTTAGGCCTTTAGCCTGATTGAGATGATTCTATAGACTTAAGGAGTCTTTAGTCGAATATATTTGCATAAGTGAGGAATAAAAAAAATATACTCATTAATCTTTTTAGGAAATAATAATAATAATAATAATAATAATAATCATCATAGTAGTAGTAATAATAAATAATAATAATAATAATAATAATAATAATAATAATAATAATAATAATAATATAATAATAATAATCAGGATCCTAACATATGTTTCGAGATCCTTAGATTTCTTTGAGATATGGGATCCTGGATGGGATTGAGGATCGTTCCCTAACAATTGCCCCCAAATTATACATGTAAAATATTTTGGATTAATTCCTAATATTTAAAAGAGTATAATTTCATGATATAATTAGAATAAAAATGAGAATAAGGATTCCGAAATTCTAACGGATAAAGAAATTTGAATTCTAACGGATAGAATTGTAGTCGTTAATATAGGCATAATTATCTTTCAAATAATTTCTCTTTCTTATGTGATCTTCCCATAAATAGGGAATTAGGGTTCCTAACTCCTCTTTACTTCTTCTAGCTATCCTTTGAGCATCACCGGCGATTTTCAAAGGTATGTTTCTTATTCTTTCTCTTTTAATTTTACGATCCTCCGATCATGGGAAAAAAGATGACTCGTTCTCGTGCTAGCATCACTGCTCCCTCTGAGGATGACTTCATTGATCAAAAGATTTTGAATTATGATGAGTCATCTTTCGACAATGAAGACATTGAATCTCTGAAAGCAAATGGGGATTTTGTTATTGGTATTATTTTTAAACCTTTTGATGTTCTGGCTCAACTAGACTTTGGCATCAAGTCTTCTTCTTGT